CCACCACTCGCCTCCCACACCATCCCACTTCCGCGCTCCCCACCCTCACATGTCCACCCGCCTCTGCCACCTGCCCTCCTCATTCCCTGCCTGCCTATCCGTCAACACTAGTTTCCAGTTCAGAATCGGATCAGGTGCTTTCACATCCTCTGTCTTGCAACAAAGTGAACACGAGTATAAGAGGCCGTCCATGATCTTATGTTATTGCAGCATCAAAACGAAAGTCTGAATTCTCTAAAGAGGCTGGATTCAAATATTTCATTTTAGGTGCCATTTCCTCCGGGATTTAGCAAACCAATGCCTTCAGCTAGTCAGCCATAACCTCCCAGGAAAGAACGGGATTTAAACCTGAGACGTCTCACATGAAAGACCAGCACCCTAACCCTGAATGCTTACCACATCCTCTGTGTCGCTGCCCACTCTGTGCAATCGAGCAGTCTCCACAACTGGCGGCAGACTTCCAAGGTTCATTGCCTTCAACTTCAGCGACTTCTACTTGATCACACAGAGCAACAGTGAGACACCCATAAAAGCAGAAGCATATCAGAAAACCATGCCTGGTACCATGCCTAGTACCATGCCTAGTACGTTGCCTAGTACAAGCCTGGTACCAATACAGCAGAAGCATATCACAAAGCCATCCAAAGCATGCTAGCACGGGTCAGAGGTGAGTCTCTGCCCTCCGAACCGTATGTGACAGTTTCCCGTCATACAGCTCTCCATCAGCGTTCCGTCTCGAACGCATAACACTCCCAGACGGGCCAACACTGCGTGCCTCCTGGATGTTTCCGCCGGGCCAGCGGCACGGGTTGCGTGTCCCCCGTGATCACCAAATGGAACTGCATGTGCAGTACCATGCCTAGTACGATGACAATGGACTCTTGGTGGAACGGACCGACCCCCCCTTTCTAGGCTTGTACCCCCTCTTTCCGAGTCTTCAAAATGTTGAAGTATGTCCGAGCGTCTATAACTGAGCATCTATATCCGAGTATGGATGAACGTTGAACGCACTTTATGTAAACGCTGAATATTAGAGGACACGTTAACTTTCTCTCAAAGATGCACCGAATGCAGCTATAACCACCGGACATTATATTTGGCTGAACACCGTAGCAGACGTCTCCTAGGCTTTATAGCTGAGCCCTATACACGGGAGGAGGAGGCAGACCGTAGCACCTGTGCTGAGGCATGGAGCATAGTTCAGCATTTGGGAACACAGGCATCAGATGTGCTCGAGGCATGGAACATAGCTTAGTATAGGTATGCAACATAGGTTAGCATCGGGGACCACAGATATCGAATGTGTCCACGCGGCATCAAACATAGTTCACCATAGGCAAGGAGCATAGTTAAGCATTTGGGACCACAGGTATCAAACGTGCTTGAACGATATAACTTATTTTAGTATAAGTATGAAACCAGGGTTGCACCCCTGCCGACCGCCGACCCCAACCGCCGACCGTATTGCAGCCGACCAGTAGGGCCGACCGGTCAGCGGTCCGCCAACCAGTCAGAAAACAACCATACACGGATTTTTTTTCAAATCCGAGTTCGGGGCTGTACTGCGCTTGCTGAGTACAGCCCAAATCCGCTGAGAAACTTTTGGGGATGGGGGGTGGGGTATGGGGGGGGTTGGGGTTGGAGTATAGGGGGGTCTAGGGGTGATATAGGGTTTATTGGGGGGAATAATAAGGGTGTTGGGGCCGGTTTGGGGGTGTTGGGGGGGTGTATGGGGGTATTGGGGGCTGCTATGGGGGTGTTGGTGGTGTTATTAGGGGTTCTGGACCCCCCGACCACCGGTAGGTGCCGACCAGCCGATCGGTCGGTGGGTCGGCAGCCAACCAGTCAAGGGCTGCCGACCGTCGGTAGTGTTATTAGGGGTTCTGGACCCCCCGACCAGAACTGTATGAAACATAGTTTAGCATCTGGGACCACAGGAATCAAATGTGCTCGAGCCATGGAGCATAGTTTAGTATAGGTGTGGATTCTATGGAACATAGTTTAGCATAGGCATGGACCATAGTTTAGCATTTTGGATCACAGCAATTACATGTGCTCAAGGCATGGAACATAGTTTAGCATAGCCATGGAACGTAGTTTAGCATTAGGCATGGAATGTAGTTTAGCATTAGGCATGGAACATAGTTTAGCATTTAGCATTAGGCATGGAACGTAGTTTAGCATTAGGCATGGAACATAGTTTAGCATAGGCATGGGACATAGACCAGCGTTTGGGACCACGTCTATCAAGCATAGGCATGGGAGATAGTTTAGCACTTGGGACCAAAGTTATCAAATGTGCTTGAGGCATGGAACATAGTTCAGCATAGGCATGGAAGATAGTTTAGGATAGGCATGAAACATAGTTCAGCATAGTCATGGGACATAGTTTACATTTGGTTGGGACGACAACTATCAAATGTGCTCTAGGCATGCAACATACTTTAGCATAGGCATGGAGCATAGTTTAGTATAGGCATGGAGCACATGTCAGCATAGGCAGAGGCGACAGAAGGTTCACCTCCATTTATAAAAAAAACAAAGGGTCATTTTAACCATACTTCACACCAATCCGTAGAGTGCACTTCTTACTAACTTATTGTAAAAAAAAAAACAAAAAAAAACAAAAAAAACATATAAAACAGCAAGGCAAAAGTGCACTTTCATGAAATTTTACCAACATTTCAAATTGTCAATTTTCACAATTTTCACCGCTGCCCAAAACAAGCATCTCCAGTAACCCAACAAACACCAAACTTGGTACATACATGCTTTGACCAAAAACAAAACAAAAAAAAAAAAAAAAAAAAAAAAAAAAAAAAAAAACATGATCCCCACTGCACTTTTCATGGATGTGAAGGTTACCCTCGGGGTGAAAAGTGGGGGTACCTGTTAACCATTTGTGCATAGAACATAGTTCAGTATAGGCATGAAACATAGCTATGCGTGATTGAGAGACTTGGCTTTTCTTTTTTTGTTCATGATTGAGAGATTTGGAGTCTATGTTCCATGCCTCAAGCGCATTCGATAGCAGCGGTCCAAAACCAGGGGAGAGAAACAAGAAACAGTGTACTGCAAATCTTTCTTATTATCCCAATTGGGGATTGAGAGATGTTGAGGAGGAGGCAGGGAGTAGGCAAGAACCTGTTGGACTGGCTGGCCTGTGTTAAAGGTGGCTGCCATCAGTTTCTTTTTTTTTTCACATAAAACTACACACTCCCCTATCTATTCGGGGAGGGGGGGGGGGGTCGTGGGGGGCGCATCAGTCCAGTCGCATGACACACTTCTCACCTCACCAACCTTCTCTCAGAGAGCCCAAGGGTTTGCAACCTCACTCCTACAGTATCATTTTTCTCCCCTCCTACCCTCCCAAACCCACCTCCACCCACMCCCCCACCCCATCCCTCTCCCTCCCCCCTCCCTCCCCCCTCCCTCCCCCCACCCTTACCTTCCCAATTATTCTTACTTTGCAAACTGTACAATGCTTGCTGGTGATAAGGGACCGGGCCGATGCCCCCCAAAATAAATGGGGCCATGCGCGGATTTCTGTGAAAAAAGAAAAGAAAAGGAACTGATTGCAGGGCTATGCAGGCACCTTTACAAGGGCCAGCAGTTTAATGGTTCAACGACAGCCTGTTAAATTGTTGAACTGAACAGCTCGACAGTTTCAAACTTCTTACATAAGAGGACGCACGAAGTGCTGTGCCCTTGTCAACATATTCTCTCGGCGTTGGTCACGACTACCAAATTGTTTTAGTGGACTAAAACTTCTAAAAGCCATTGTGAATTCTCTTTTTTCTTTACGGATTTCTTTTTCCTTTTTCTTTCCAGAAAGGTATCACTTAACATTACTGAATTCAAATTTCAAATATTATTGTATTCAAAAATATGCTGGGCTATCGCCCGGCACGCAGGACAAAACCAGACGGATCAAAAAAGAGGCAAGGATCCCCTCCCCCCCAAAAAAAGACTTCAGGCCAGGACTGCGCTTGTGCGAGGATCAGGGTCCTCGGTAGGCCTAAGGGGCCCTGTTTGCAGTATTGCCCGCCCTAAGTGAAGGCGGGCCTGACATATCGCAAGAGGCCCTCGACTGTCAATTTCATATTTGGGGTCCAGGCAGTTGCGACGCGGCAGTTGGTTGAGTGAAACTCAGGCCGGGCAACAAAGACATTTCCACAGCCCTCCGGGGTTTTCCAAAGAATGCAGGCCCTGGGCGTGATTCGCAGCCTCATACAGAGACAGTTGGGCGCCCAACCGAACAAGGCCCAGCAGCCCAGTAGCTGCTGTACACAGGCAGCCTCCTGGGGCCTTCCGGAAGCTTCTGGGCCCAGGCCAGGGCAGCCAGGCGGGGCAAGCAGGCCAGCTCTTTCCATAAAGGAAATAGCTCTCTGCTGGCAGCCTCATTCGGTCACTTGCTGGCTGGCGGCAGCGCTGCTGGAGCAATTGCTCGCGGGCTGGCTGCCGGCATTGGAGCAAGAGGCTGCGCACGTGCGGTCGTGTGTAGGAGCAGGGCGCTGCTGAGGGCAGCGCCATAGCCAGCCTCCATAGCGGGCTAGGCTTGGATACACAGTGAGGCGCAGGGGTGGTCTTCGGGTGCAAGAGAGGACAGGTGTGGGTGTTAAGTCAGGGAAGGGCGAAGGATGATGATGACGATGATGTGATGGCACTTACCTTGTATTGGCGATGGTCAGCATATGGGCGACATCTTCAAGTACTTCGGGTTGGCGCTGATGTCAACAGTTGCATTGTCTATTATTAGGCTGATCGTAGCTGTGTAGGAGTAGGCTGGGCGCTGAGCACCAGGTAGGAGTGTGAAGGGACTGGACTCTTGTGTTAGTGAAGGACACAGTGTGACTATCTGGCTTTTAATGTGATGGTGTAATCTGGATTTGTCATCTCGCTGTTGCTTATTTTCCTTGCACTTGGCCTAATAAGCAGTCAAAATCCGGTCTTAACTTCGATTTTGGTGATGGGTCATCCAGGGGGGTTTGGGGGGTATAAACAGTGACTAACGGGGTTCAAACTTCCACTCCACACTTAAGAGGGTACATTACGACTCATGTTTTCTCATTTAATTTTTTATTATCTTCAAATTAACAAAGGAATTTTGAGGCGGCCCTCAGCCAAACCTTGTTTGTATTGCAATTTTATACAACTTTTTATTTTCTTCGGATTTTAGTGTTTTGTAACCTTTTTTTTTTTAATTATGTGCTGGGACCGCCCGGGACCTGGCCCGGACCCTGCCCGGACCCTGCCTGCCCCGGGCCGCCCGTGAGGGGACCCAGGCGACCTTCCCCCAGCCGGGCCACCTGGGGACCAGCACAGATGCAAACATGATTGTATTCAAACATTTATTGTATCCATTTGATTCCATCAAGATTCAAACTCATCATCTGTTCCTCGACAGTTACTTTGTGTGTGCCATTCCACCACATGGGCTGGGTTAAACAGTTCAACCTCTTGCCTGTTGAACTGTTGAGCTGTTTAGGCTTTAGGGGTTAGGATTTACGGTTTACGGTTTAAGCTGGTGAACTGTTGAAATCTTAACCAGGTGAAATCTTAACCTGGTGAGCCGGATCGCTTTGCCCTGTAGCCTAGCAGGTGGGGGGTTTCTGGGGTGGGTCGTGCCACTCTGTAACCTAGCAGTTGGGGGCGTGAGGCCTGGTAGAGATTGGGTATCGGGATACAGGGGTGAGGCACGTAGGGTTGGGCTGCTGAGAGGCTTTAAGGCAGGAGGCCTTTGGTTTAAGTGCTCCTCTGATTCAAGGTTTGGGGCTAGGGAGTCCAGTGTTCTTGTGTAGATTGCATAGCTACTAGTCTTTGCCGAGTTACGGCCCCGGTGTGCAAAGTTTTCTACATAAACTTCTCAATATGTTCTTGAATGGGACGCTGGGCCCGGTTCCCAGCACGTGCTGCTCCCCACGAATAGATTGGAGCATGTCTCTTTCAAAAAAAAAAAAAAAAAAAAAAAAAAACACCCTGGTGAACTGTTTAACTGTTGTATGCATTTGATTCCATCAAGATTCGAACTCATGATCTGTTCAGGTTTGAACTGTTGAACTGGTGAAATCTTAACCTGGTGAAATTTTAACCTGGTGGAATCTTAACCTGGTGAACTGTTTTAACTGTTGTACGCATTTGATAATTTTGATTCCATCAAGATTTGAACTCATTATCTGTTCCTCGACAGTTACTTGTGTGTGCCATTCAGCCACATGGGCCTGTTGAACTGTTCAGCCGTTGAACTGCTACTGAACTGTTGATCTGTTTAGGGTTCAGGGTTCAGGGTTTAGGGTTCAAGGTAGAGGCAGAGGGAATTTCCGGTGGAGCGGTGAAATGCATAGATATCGGAAAGAACGCCCAAGGCGAAAGCACTCTGCTGGGCCGATACTGACACTGAGAGACGAAAGCTAGGGGAGCGAATGGGATTAGATACCCCAGTAGTCCTAGCTGTAAACGATGGACACTAAGTGCTGCACGATTTGATCCGTTCAGTGCTGGAGYTAACGCGTTAAGTGCCCCGCCTGAGCTGCTGAACTGTTGAAGTTTTGAAACTGATGAGGTGCTGAGCTGTTGCACACAGGCCAGAGCAGTTTTTTTTAAAAGATGGTTCGACTGGAGACGAGGCGTTTTTCTCGCATGGTCAGACGGACGTAAACTGCAAGTTCCAAATTAAGACTTGACTACCAGAATACCGTATACAGAAGTCGGACAGCGAGATGAGGAGAGACTTTTGGGAGAGAAGAGAGGCGTAAGGGATTGTCAACTTCGCTCACCAGTGCCCACGGCTTGTAGTGATCAAGAAACCAGGGGGCTACCTTCATGATCAGTTGCTCTGAAGCAAAGCGCTCTAGCCATATCCCCCATGCTTTCTGCAGAATCCCATTGAGCCATACCACTGTCTCCGTGTCTGTCATCTGCAGAAAGTTACAGAAACACAATCATCAGAGACTGATACTCCAGTTATGCAATGTTGTTTTCCATTCAAAACAAAAAAGCTACACACAGAGAGAGAGAGAGAGAGAGAGAGAGAGAGAGAGAGAGAGAGAGAGAGAGAGAGAGAGAGAGAGAGAGAGAGAGAGAGAGAGAGAGANAGAGAGAGAGAGAGAGAGAGAGAGAGAGAGAGAGAGAGAGAGAGAGAGAGAGAGAGAGAGAGAGATTTATAGGCCAGTTCTTTGGACACCTGAAACAAAAAAAAAAGCAGAACAACGAAGACAAGATAAGTATTATGGCCCTCCAAAGACTGCAGTTATGAATTACAGACCTTCCGACTCCAGACACAGGTGCTTTCTCTCTCAGACTTCTTTCCCCCTCTTCTTGAAGTCTTCTTTGCATCTGCCACCCCATCCCTCTGCGACATGTCGAACAGATGCGCATGCCGGTTTGCGACAATAGGGTATCGCTATGAGGTCGGGCGGGGGTCGGGATAGGGTCCAGAGGGGGTCGGGATAGCTCGGGATGGGTGGAGATAGGCTCGCGAGGGGGTGTATGATGGGCGGGATAGGGTTGGGATGGGTTGGGGATGGTTGGGGATGGTTGGGAATGGGCGAGGATAGGATCCTGGTGGGCGGGGATACGCCTGGACGGGTCTGGACAGGGTGGGGATGGGTCGGGAAGTCCCGGAAAGGGGTCACTTCGAGGTCGGTATGGGGTCTGGACAGGTTCGGGATGGGCGGGTAAACAGTTGGGTTAGGCAGGTAGAGGGGCAGGATGGGCGGAGTAAAGGGTCGGGATGGGCAGGGATGGGTGGGGTAAAGGGTGTGATGGACAGGAATGGGCGCAGGCGGGTCGGGACAGGGCAGGGATGGGTATGGGCTCCCCACCCAAAACCCTTGGCACCACCCCAAACCCTCAACCCCCCAGAAACTGGCAGAAGGCCCGAAAAATAACTCCCCAATAAATTGAAAGCACGATGCATTCTGAAGGGTCTCAAAGAGCACAAATCAGCGTCACTTCGATTTTTTTAATTTTTATTTTCTTTGCCTGGTTTTTGGACCTGCCCGGGTCACCCGGGCAGGTGGGCCCTACTTGCCCAGGCCCGGCTGCACGGCCGGTCACTCGGGCCCGTGTGGATCTGGTAGCCGAGTATCACATTCTATTCCTCGAAGTTTCTTTTCAACTTTTTTAATTTTTTACTCTTTTCCTTTTCTGAAAAACAAAACAAAAGATTTGCAGATGGTGTTAGAAGACTCGGAATTATGCCGAGCAGTCACACTATCGGAGTGAGCGCTTTCAATTACAACCCAGGCCAAGTGGAAGTAGCATTGACAGTATGAGGCTCTGAAGGTTTCAGGTACCTAGACGTGAAGTGAGGCAGGTGCATTATCTGCACTGTACACCCTGCATATACAGGTACAGTCTAACATCCACAACTTCCAACTGCCCATTTTGACACATCATTCACACCGTCATTTCAACGAGTCGATTCACCAACCTGATATTGAAGACTCCTTGGTCTGTATCCGCATTAGGGGGGGGGGGGGTGAAGTGCGAGGATCGAGCCCTCACATTTGCCGCCAGGCCGCGGTCTCCCGAAGCCTAAGGGGCCCCAAGCAAGCTACATGCCCGCCCTAAGTGACAGCGGGCCTGATATCAGACCAGGGGCCCTATTTTTGTCATTTCCGCATGTTGAGTGCCAGACAGTTTCCACGCGCCAGTTGGTTACACAGTCCCTGCTCGTGGGTAACAGACTCTTCCTTGAGCCTTCCAGGCTCTTCTGGAGGCTGGCCTCTCGGCCTATCCGAAAGCACGGAACACCTCACAGGGAGCGTGGGTGGTTGGGCACACCTCGATGCTGCGATCCCAGGCAACTGTCTGAAAGGTCCTGGTGCAGACACTTGGGCCCGACTGGAAGCTACTGGAAGCACAACTGCCAGGCCCAGGACGCAGAATGGCTGCACTCACTTTCCATATAGGAAAGTGAGAGCTCGCAAGGGAGCACATTCTGGCCTTGCACTTGCGGGCGGCCACGCTGCTGCACTGAACGCAGAGGCTGCACGGGCGCTGGCCAGAGGCGCATGTGGGCGCTGTGAGGTGAGAGGGGCGCTGCGGTGGCAGCAGGCACATGGCGGCCATAGCCTGGCTGCTGGGGTGCATGTTGGTGCTGGCGACGGTGGTCTTCGGGTGTCGGGGATGCACACTGTGAGAAGACAAGAGTGGGACAGAGGAGGAGAGAAGAGGCACATACCTGGTGTATGCTCGCAGTCAGCATTGGCGACATCGTCAAGTACATTAGTCTTCAGCTTGAAGTGACTCCTGTTGCATATACGTAGTGTAGGCTAGTATATGCTGAGTAGAGTAGGCTGGGCGCTGTGCACCAATCAGAGGAGAGCGGCACTGGATACTATGTTGGTGTGGCGAGAGAGTGTCGACATTGACTGGATACTATGTTGGTGTGCTTTCTGCTTGGTACATGACTGTCTGGTCTACAGCGTGATATTACAATTTGGTTTTCTGCCTATCGCTCTTGCTCATTTTCCTTGTGATTTGGTATCGGCGCTGGTTTAGATATCGCCATACTGGCGCTGGTGTCTTGGTTACTTGGTGTGCTGATGAAGCTTCTCCGCAGTACGGATACTTTGATGCTGGCTGATTGGGTCACTCCCGGGTAGAGGGGAGCGTAACCAGAAGGCTGTGGCGACAGAAGGTGTATGTGGAACGATGAGGGCATGCTGATGTGGCATTTTGGCTGAGGTGGCACTGCATTGCATTGTGTACGGTACCAAGGCTATGACCGGTCATCAAAATGCACGTCGGCTCAATTGGTGAGAAATCTGTGGTTGGGGGCAGCTATCTTCAGGTACGCTGTTCCCTTACCTTATCTTCCCATCTCAATCTCTTCTTACCGTGAGCAAGAGAGTTCAGCTTGTGAGTCCTCTTCTGGTTCAGAAGTTGTGAGCGCTCTACCTTGAGAGTCGACATTCTTCCTGGAGGCGCATCTGGTGGGAGAGGGCGGTGCTACTTGAAAAAAAAAAAAAAAAAGTATATTGCTAACTATTCATTATTTATTATAATGTATTGTTTTAAAACTTTTAATCTAAGAAATGCGCGTGAATGTAGAGTTTTGCAATCCCTAAAGTTGCGTAAACAATGCATGTACAGTTTTTTTTTTAAGTGAAAGTAGCTGTTGGCAACGTTTTGCGTGTGGTAAAGGAAGATATGGATGCAAGTCGGAAACCGAGGGGATGCTGCGGGGGGGCGGAGCCCCCCTCCCCGCAACTTGAGAAAAAAAGAGGAATGTACTTTACTCAGTTTACTGCTTTTTGCTAACTATTTATTAGAATATATTGTTTTAGTTTAAAGAAATGAGTGTGAACATAGAGCTTCGCAATCCGTAAACGATACATGTACAGCTGTTGGTTGGGTTTTGTGTGTGACGAAGCAAGATATGGATCAGCATATGAAGGGGGGGGAAGCGGTGCGGTGTGTGTGAGTACTGTGACTGATCTTTGTTGTGGTTCTTAATGGGGACGTAGCCCGCACCGCCCGCACCTGGGCGCTAAGCTAGTATTTATGATTGGTCGATGACTCGATATTCATCTGGGCAGTTCTCTTTCACTATATATATCGTCAAACAGAGCTGCCCGGTAAACCATATATATATTATTATCATTACCTTTGCACGAACTGCATCCATCTTCAGCGACATTTTGGCCTCTTCGAATGCTCTCTTCCGTTGGATGTAATCAACCTGATGGACACAAATAACCCCAAAGCACGTAACATTGCACAAGAGAGAGATAAGAGAGAGAGAGAGAGAGACGGCAGACGGGTGGCGCAATATTCAGTATCGTCACGCTCAACTGGGGGTTGTCATTGGTTAGCTCACACATTGCATTCCTAACACACGCACGCGGGAGAGAGAGAGAGAGAGAGAGAGAGAGAGAGAGAGAGAGAGAGAGAGAGAGAGAGAGAGAGAGAGAGAGAGAGAGAGAGAGAGAGAGA